CTACTACTACTACTACTACTACTACTACTACTACTACTACTACTACTACTACTACTACTACTTTCCATCCATATCACATTCGATCATCGATTCACACACGCACGCACGTGGGTGAAGGAGGGAGGTGGGCCAGAGGCAAGGCATTGCACGAGCAATCGGAGGAGAAAAGAGAGACCTAAGAGATCTAAAGCAACGCGATATGATGTATCCAGGGTGTAGGGAGAAGGAGGCAACTACGACTGGGCGAGCCAGACTGCGGCGAGGATCCGCCCGATTGGCCGGAAAAGAGTCCCTGTCATCCGCCAAAGGGCCCCTGTAAGCCCATGGGTCCACCGGGCTATCCCGCGAAACCGAAGCCGGAGAGGAAGCCATTTTGCGTAAAGTGTCCACCCAAGAAACCGTGCAAAACGAAAAAATGTTAGGTGTCGGGTGTCTCGCGCATCGAGAGACAGAGGGTACGTGGAGATAGCGGCGGACGCAGCGAGCTAACACGATCCTCTATCGATCAAAAATCTCTGTTGTCTGCGTCGTAGGCCAAGCACGATCCAAACGCTTCGTTCCTGGGACCACTCTTCAAGCTTTCCGCCGCGACGCTTCGTAGTTTTCCAGCTAGATGCCAATACTCTTTGGGATCCTCCATTCTCGCTGGCTGCAATCGGGCGCCTCTGTCGAGGATACCCGACGCGAGGCTCGACTCTGCGAGGAACTTTAGCGCCCTGTCCTCCGCCTACCAGGCTTGGCCTACCAGGAGGCCACGAAGCATCTTCCACGCGTGTAAAGAGCTAACGAGATACCTGCGGCAAGATTCCACTCTGATGGCTAAAACGGGCGGGAAGAAGACGTCCCGTTCCAAAGTATCGCCCGAGAACTACTCCTCCTCCGAGTTGGCTGACGAATCTGGCAAGCTTCGGAGAAGCGTACCGTGCAGAGAAGCGTCCCGACGCAGGAAGCCCTGTCCGCCACCGGAGAAGTGCACACCACCCAAGTGCACGCCACCGTGTTGTCGTCCTCGTCCCCTCAACACCAAGTGTCGCGACATGCCTCGAGCTCCGTGCCCGCCCCCCTGCCCCATCCCCTGCCCCGTAGAGAAGAAGCCTCCGCCGCCGAAAATATGCTATCGAAAGTGTCCTTTGCCTCCGAAGCCACCCAAGCCTCCAAAGTGTCCCAAGATTCCGGCTCCACCGCTGCCTCCGATCCCACCCAAACCACCCAAGCTACCCAGATGTCCGCTACCCTGCGCACCACCTCCGCCACCGCCTCTGCCCAAGTGTCCGAGCGTGCCCAAGTGTCCCGCGTGTCCACCGCAGAGGGAATGTCCGCCACCACCGCCCTGCGAACCTTGTCCTTGTCCACCACCCTGCCCTCCACCCTTCTGTCCACCTCCGCCGCCCTGTCCACCATGTCCACCACCGATTCCATGCCCCAGACCTCTCCCTTGCCCACCTCCGCCTCCACCCAGGCTCTGTCCGCCTTGTCCGCCATGTCCAGAGTATCCCAAGCCGCCACCCTGCCCACTCCCGCCACCTTGCTGCCCTTGCCCTTGTCCCGAACCACCGCCACCTTGTCCCTGTCCCAAACCCTGTCCACCGTGTCCGAAAGCGCGAGCCTCCTGTCCCAAAGACGTTCCCTCGTGTCCTCCTTGTTCGAAAGATCCCGGAAGATCGGCCAAGAGGAGGAAGATGTCGACGTATCACGCACCGTCGAGGTTCCACCCGTTGAAGATCGGTAACAGAGGACTACACGTTTGCTCCACGCTGATGGGCAAGTCCTCCAAGTCCTCCAAACCCTCCAAGACCGCGAAGTCTTCCAAACCGGCCAAGCCTCCGACTTGCAAAGCCATGGGTGACATCTGCAAGGACCAGAGCGACTCCTGCGTGAAGGTTTGCGACAAGCAGCCCAAGCGCGACAAGAAGAAGGACCCGTGTCGGGGCAGAACGATGAAGAAGATAGACAGGAAGAAAAAGGGGAAGAAGGAGGACTGCATCGAAACGTGCATTCCAAAGAATAAGTGCGACATGCCCGATGTGCCCAAACCACCGAAAATGGAATACGGACCGGCCACGTGCCCTCCTCCCAAGTTCGTCTCGCCGACACCCTGTCCGGAGCAGCAAGAAACAACGATGCCGTGCGTGGAAATACGACCGATCAGTAAATCGAAGAAGGAAGTCTGTCCTCCGCCACCCCTGCCCAAGCCGCCGACAGAAGCCGTGGTCCTCTGCCCCTGTCCACCCCCGCCCAAGTTGCACCCTGGACCCTGTCCCTGTTACGACACGAGGGCCGAGAGGTTGGACCAGGCCCTGATGCCCCCGTGTCAGCTGAAGGAGAAGTACGTCTGTCCCAGAGAGGCGCACTACTGTCCACAGGAGAGTTTGGTCTGCAAGAGGAGGAAGCCGTGCGATCCTGACAGGAAGAAGAAGAGGAAGAAGTAACCGAGGTAATATCTTTATCCGAATCTTTATCTTTCTAATCTAATATCGTACAATGGCGAAACTGGTCTCGAGACACCGAAAATTCACGAAAGAACTAGAACGCGATAACGCAAACTCAAAACTCGTAAACTGATTTAACTC